GACTTCAAAGTCGGCAGTTTGAGACCACCAGCTGGCCTGCAGGAGAAAGATGAGGCTTTCTACTTCCCTAAAGAGTAACAGCCCGGGAAACTCACAGGCTCCGTCCTATGGGGTCGCTGTGACTCAGAATCGACTCGTTGGCAGTGAGCTTTTCCATCTTTACATGAGCAGACTGCCTCATCTTTCCCCACGGAGCAGATGGGGGTGCGACTCGCTGACCTTTCACTTAGCAGCTGAGCTCTTAGAACCACCGCAGCTCCAGGGGTGTTCTTAGCAGCCCATTTTACAGAGAAGCACATGAAGACTCGAAGGGATTGCTCTTTGCTGAAGGCGACACAGCTTTACATCCCGTTCTCCTGTGGAGCTGCTGGAGGGTTTGAACTGCCCATCTGGTGGCCGGCAGCCGTGCTCGGGGCTGCCCCTCCAGAGTACTCCCAGGAACAGCTGACCAGCTCCCGGGGCTTAAGAAACAGTGCGCATCCGGTATTGTTGAACAGGATTGAGGTAGGAGCTGTGGTACTTGACAAAGGGGTGGCGGTAGGAGTTGGCTGAACAAGCTTGAGCTGCCAAAATTGCCCCGGGCTGATACTCGCGTATAGAGTGAGTAAGAGTTCGGCCTGATGCTAGACTTGAGATGCGAATGGGCATTTTGCTCATTTCATGATAATTGGGGTTTCTGGCTCCAGCTGTGATTTTTTTTCTTTGCACGTGACTTTCATTGCAGAAAGCTTCTCTCGGCCTGTTCTCATTAAATCCCAGATTAAGCAAGAATCCTGACAGGAAGAGAGCGGTTACAAGAGACCAGGCCTCGCTCATTCGCACTGTGTGTGTGGTTGGGTGTGTTTATTTGTTTGGATGTGTGTGTGTGTGTTGTCCCCTTCTAAGAAAAATTAAAAATAACTCTCTGCTGAAAATGTGGGCGCTGGGTGGTGGTGTGTGGCTGAGTAAGACGGCCTCCTCCCACCTTGGCCTGCTCTGCTGACGTGGCCTGGCCTGCTCTGCCCACAGAGGCCTGGCCACCGCTTTAGTGCATTTGCCCAGGGGAACAACCCAGAAAGCCACAGGAGGAGAGGTTGCTGTGGCTTAGAATGCACCCAGGGCCACAGTGTGATTATGCGCGTTTTAGAGACAAAAAGACTGAGGAGCGCCAGCGGAAAAGACGCCCCCAAGTTACACACCAGATTCTTCCCAAACTAAAACGACTCCCTGCCGTCACGTGCATTCCGACTCACAGCAACCCTATGGGACAGGGTAGAACTGCCCCTGTGGGTTTCCGAGGCTGTAACTCTTTATGGGAGTAGTGTGGTAGTCACACAATCCAGTGTCAGTGTGGGACTTGAGAGGATTAAGAGTGGAGGGGTGCAGTCTAGTCTGTCAATCGGGTCGCAGCCAAGGAGGCCTCTGTGTGGGCCTGGCCTTCCCCTAAGAATTCTGGGAATTCGGATTTTCCTCCTTGGAGGCAGGAGACACCCTCTCTCTGCTCACTCCCTGCGAGACATTCCTGAGGAAAAGCCACATGGACCTATCCTGATGCAGCCCTGGGAACTGGAGGAGTCACGTGGAGGGCCCTGCCAGCCCTGAGATGTTTACACCCCCACTGACTTTGCACCCACTGGCCTGTGATCTTCCTGCATTCGGCATCACTGCATGTGTTTCGTGAGTCTGAAGAGGGCTTTATAGATTGGTATCAGACATATGGGCTAATATCAGACTTATGGACTTGATCTGGACTGGGCTGGGATATTTTCTCAATATTCAATTGCTATTGTATATAAACCTCTTTCTTATTCACATGAGTCTCTATGAATTTGTTTCCCTAGTCTACATGGACTAACACATGTAGAAAGCTTCATTTTTCTTCTGCCAAGCACCTGATGGTTTCGAACTGCTAACCTCACCATCAGCAGCCCAACACATATCCCACTATGCCGCCTAGATTCTTGCCAGCGGGGGAGATTTTTCCTGGTGGTGACCTGGTCATTCATTGTTTACTCCCTCTAACATTCACAAGGTGCTCGTGCAGCAAAACAAACTGGTGTCACAGGGTGGACGTGACTTTTGATACTTCTTAACCCAAATTCTGATCTAATTCTCCAGTCCACACGTACTTCTTGAGGACTTAGTATGTCCTCATCGGTACTCTGGGCATTGGAGATGGAGTTGTTAGCAAAGAAATGGGTACAGCAAAACAAATGACCTGGTGTAGCTCACCTTCCACCGAGGAAGGCGGTTGTTCGACAACGAAGGGCACAGCTGTGCAAGGCCCAGCTGTGGCACCTGGCACGGGAAGACCTGCAGGACCCAGCGTCAGCTGACGGCACGGAGGCCTGGCCTGCCGTCAGTGGGCAGGGGTGTCGGTTCTGTGCTTCCCTTTAGCCATTTGATTTTACACTTGGGCAGTGGGGGTCTTTTGGTTTGTTTTCAAGATCAAGTATGGTCATGAAAAGCCTCTTTACTTGCTTTTAAACTTTTTCTCTGACTCTGGTTCATTTTGCTGACCTTCCACACTTGTAGTTAAGCGCCAAGATATTATCCACCCTTTTGGCCATTCTTACTTGCTTCGCCTTACCCACAGATTAGATAGGCAGGTCCTTCAGGGTGTGTCCAGACAAAATACTTGTCCAGTCCTACTGCCTATCATCAGAGACCTCTGTCTAAGGCTCCTTAGATCTGGGGCTGCCCCCAGACCACAGTGGTGTACACCATCATTGTTTTCTGCACTCATCCATCCATTCATTCTTTTATTAGCCATAAAATAACAGAATAGCTTTCAAGTTCATTGCCTTCCAGACCTAGGGTGGATATCCAGTCTTCGTCATGGGCTTAGTTGATTTAAAGGTATTCTCTTCACTGGTTCTCTCTCTTATGCTCCAACTATCTCTGGTGCATGTTTATTCAATGATTCTCTTTGGACTACAAGATAGAATCAAATTAGGTAGTGACCCTCCTTCCTTCCTCAGCCACCCCTCAAAGGTGTGGACCACTGCTTCTGTAAAACCACATTTCCTTTGTCCACTTGGAGATTTTAAGAACAAAGTGAGGGTAGCTTGGTGACAGGTGAGTCGGGGGTAGGGTAGAGCAGACAGATAGTTCTCCGAGTGCCCCGGAGGCCGCTCAAGGTCTCTCCCAGGCGTTTTCACTACCTTGGTGGTTCCAAACTCTTTTCGTAGTAAGATGCCCTTCGCCTCTTGGCTCGTCCTCGTCTTCAAGGGCACAGCAGGGTTTTCTGGTTGATAAGCACACTGACATCCAGCAGGCTTGGCAGGAGCAGATATGAAAATCCAGCAGCCATCATCAAGCCAGATACTTTCAAAAGATGTCAAAGAACTTTTCTTACAACGTTTTATTGGAGAACACCTTTAGCTTTTAAGGTTATGGATGTTACCATAAAATGGGCTTCTGGACATGTTTTAATGAGTTGATATATTTATTAGTTTTCATTTCTGATACAGTAAATGTGGGCAGTTTTAACTCTCATGCAGAAACTCTTTGGGGACCTGTGATTATGGTGTGGCAGGGTAACTTCTCACTTGGCAGCAGGGAGGAGAATCAAGATCAACAGCTCAAGGCTGACTCCTAAGAAACAGACCAGATGTACCTCCTCTCTGGCACGAATCGACCCTCTCACAGCGGCGTGTGCTGCTGCTCCCCTGAACTTTATAATGTGTTGCTATGACCACACGAATCTCATAGACCATACCTACAGTTAAGGGATTTGTTACATCGGGACAGGTTAGAACTCAGGATCAGGGCCCCTCTTTACACTGGAATTTCCTTTACTTTTAAGCCTGGCCTGATGAGAAGAGTGACCAGGCCCCTCATTGGGACTCCATACACCTTGTTGAATGGTTTCACCTCTCCTAGGGTTCCATGTACCTTACATGTGTGGCTAGCAAGCGGTCCTGTTCTCCTGATGGGCCACAGTACCGTATAGTCTCACTCAGTCATTGTATGTGAGTCGCATGGCTAAAGGAGCCATATGACAGCATTCATTGTACCACAGGTCCTCAGTCAGTTTGGGGAGTATAAAGGAGCCCAGGGCCTTCTGTGCTAGAGGATAAGAGGTCCCCTGGGTGCTGTGAGAATATCAGGTACTCAGCAATCAGACATTACCCAATAGGAAGTGCTTAAAGTCACGTCTTTCACGCCAGCCCACAGGTGTGTGAACTGCAGAGGAAGAAGAGTCCCTTGGAACCGTGACATTTCCAGAAAAGGATGTGCCTTCTTGCCCCTGGAGGAGAGGGCTGGCTCTCCCTGCTCCCTCCCTCGGTTTAGAGGAATGCCCAGGCATAGTCCCTCAGCCTCCAGGGGTCAGAACCAGCGCTGTGAGCTATGCAGCACCGGTGGAGGAGCACCGTCTATGGAGCCTGATTCAAATCTCAGCCCCAATTCCTTACGCAGACTGCAGCTCAGGAGCTCTCAGTCCATCTCCTCTCTGGGCTTGTCTCCCACACTAGACATCCTAAGAAAGGATTCGGTTGAAGGAGGAAAGATCTGGGTCCCACGAGACAAACATCCCATGAATCCTAGGGTGATAATCCCAGGCCAGATGTGCCAAGTGGTTGCGGCGGGGTAGGGTGGGGAGGGGGATGTTCCAGGCCAGATGTGGAGCAGAGGGTGTGCCCAGTCCCTCGGAGGGCTCAGCTGTCTGCTTTGATCAGAGTCCTCCCTTGGCTCCACACTCAGATTGGAATCTGCAGCTCGGCACAAGTAAAAGCCTGCAAGCTCCCACCTCTGGCTTCCCTGGGACTCCAAGGGAGCCTTGGCAGCCGGCAGCCCTAGGTTTCAAAGGTCACCCCAGCTGGGTGGATTAGAACAACGGATCTCTTGGGCCGGCCGACCGGCTGAAGTTGGCTGGCCAGCGGAAGACAAGTTGCAACATCTGCGAGCAGAGCTGGAACAAAAGCCCCCTCACAGCTAAGATCTGGTTGGGCGCTGTGGCGTCCCCCGCCCTCCCTCCCCAGCGCTGCCCGTTCGGACTTTGGACAGGATTCTCTGCAGCACAGTGGTGAAGTGGGGCTGCCTGGGCATCCTGCCTCTTTCCAGAACTGCCCAGGGAGAGGCCACGGTAAGGCACCTCCCACGCACGAGTGGGCCCTGGCAAGCCAGGCTGGCACAGCCGAGGAGCAGCTTGCGCTGGGATTAGCGTGATCAGGGCACTTGTCGGGATTTGGGTGCATGGCGGAGGGGATTAAGGGAGGGGAGCTGGAGCTGCCGCTGCTGGGGCACCTGGGTGGTTTTGCCCTCTGATTGTGCCGGTGAGGCAGTGGGAGCCTGCTTGGGAAGGAGCCCTTCCTGGTAGGAGACTGGAGAATGGCATTTCTCGGAGGCCGTGCTGACTGGTCAGTGCCCAAGGGAAATGATCATTTAACATGCTGCCTGCTGCTGTCTGCTCCCTGTAAATATGCAGAATCCCCGAAACCCCACACAGGGCTGTGATGAGTCAGGATTGGCTTAGTTTTTGTGGACATGCAATGGAGCAGTCCTCAGCCCTCTAAGAGAAACGAACCCGGAGACCGGCTACAACACGGGTGAACCTCGAAAACATGCCGAGTGCCCCAGGTCCATCGCCAAAGGGCAGAACGATCCTATGATCCCACTTACATGGAAACGGCAGATTGATAGAGAGCAAAGTTCACCCGCGGCTCCAGGGGCGGGCGGGATCGCGTTCGGGAAGGGACGCTCCTGGTTTAGGAAGCAGTGCATTCCTGCTGACGGCAACGGGACACCTGGCAACGGATATTCCCTGTGTTGTGCTTTCTCTATATTTACATCAACACACCAAACGTTACCAGGGATGCTTGACTTTTAATCTTCTTCTGAGTCTTTAGCCTGAGGTTCATACCCTCTTTCTGACTTGGCAGAGAGTGACCCAGAAACCATTAAGGGTTTGGGCTCAGATGACCCTCCGCCGGCAGGGGGGCTGCGTTGCATGGTGGTTGGTCAGGGAACCTCCTTGGAGGTGAGCTTTGGCTTCCAGCTCTCCGATCGCTGCCCTTTCCGGGCCCCTCTCTGCCCGGCTCCCTTCATCAATCTGTGTTTCCCTGGCATCCTGTGATCCCCACAAGCTCGGTGTGTTCAACCCACTGCTCTGCTGATAGGGAAAATCACGGCAGGCATCTCCCAGCCTCTCGGCTTTTCCAAGTGGAATGTGGTCACCAGGCTTGAGGTGGGATTAGAGAACAAAGAGGGTTTGGTTCTGTTTGTTTATTTATTACCGAGCGCATGAAAGATATGCCCGCAGCCTGTCGTTGGCAGTGTGGAAGGGATCTGTGGTGATGGCCGTGGGCGGGGTGATGGGCTGAGGGGCGAGTGGAGCTGTTTGGTGTGACTGGCTGGCTTGGGACTGGGCTCTGGTCCTGCCCATGTGATGGCTGAGTAACTCGCCCAGCAAATTGGCACCAGGGTGGGGGTGGGAGTGGGGGGCCTAGATGTTTCTTTGCTGTATCAACTCTCCCCACTTCCCCTACTTCTGTGTGCCTACAGTCAGGTGGGCTTGTTTGACGATAGCACCCAAGCCCTGTCGGAGGTTTACGTGAACCTCAAAGTCTTGGATCAAGAGGATTTGCTGAGAAAGTCCTCAGGCTGAGGTCACCACCCCTTGGCCCCAAGCTCCCCTAAAAGCAGAGGTGGAAAGAAACATCGTGTGTCTTCCAAAGGCAGGCCTAGGAGGAGAGGGACACCTCCCCAGCCCACTCCACCTGTGTGTGCTCTGTAGCTCCCAATCCTCTGTCTCTTGCATCTCTCATTACTGGGGATAGCAAGAAACTCCGCGTCTGGGCCACGGGGCCTCCAGAAAGCTAGGACGCTGTGCTGAGTTTGGAAGCAGACCACCTCTGTTGTGTGTCCTTGGGCAAGTCTAGTTGGCTTCCTGTGGTGACAGGGGGATCATCAGAAGGGCCCTGCAGGGTTGTGGGAACTGATGAGATCGCTACCCAGGCACAGCTTGCTCATTGGATAGCGCTGCTAGAATGTCTGGGATGGAGCCGCCCCCCAATCCCACATCTCACTGGGTGCTGCCCGCTGCCTCTAACTGCTGCTACCCGCAGTCCCAATCGGGATCCACGCCCCGACGATGTCACGCTGGTGAGAGAGGTCTATGCCCTGTGGGGAAATGGGTGATGATGATGATGATGATGAACTAGTTGCCATCAAGTCAACTCTTGTTCATGGTGACCCCCTGTGTGCTCCAGGGGGGCTTTCAGTGGCTCAGTTCGCAGTACCTCTGGGTGGATTCAAACTTCCAACCTTTTGGTTAGCGGCCGAGCATGGTAAGGTTTGTACCAGCCAGGGACGCCGATGGTGTTGACAGCGACCCTGTATTGAGTGCCACTCTTGTGCTAAAGCTGTCGTGTGTGCTCGATGGACATTCTCATTTGAATACCTTCCCTCAACCCTGTAAAGCTGATATTACCCGTTCCGTTTTATAGAAAAGGAAGCCCAGGCCCAGCAGGTTTAAGTAGCTTACTCAAGCCCTGACAGCTGGAAAGGGGCAGCTCCTTGGCATCTTAGCAGGATTTCAGCATCTGGTCCTCATGATACCTGTGCCACCTACCATGCCAGCCCTAGCCCTGGTGCCCAGAGTGTACCTCACCTCAGTGATGGTGTGTCTGTGTAGCTATGCACGATAGAAGAGTCTCAGTCCTTGCCCTCTTCTCCCTCCATCCGACCACTATGGTAATTGTTCACCACTGCGTCCTTGGTAGGAGGAGCCTTGGTGGTGTAGTGGATTGCTTATTGGGCTGCTAACTGCAAAGCCGTTCAAAACCACCAGCTGCCTCTGGGGGGAAGATACTCTGGTAAAGAGTTAGTCTCCTAAATTCACAGGGGCAGTTCTACCCTGCCCTGGAGTGTCTGTGAGTCGGAATTGACTATCTTTAAGAGTGAGTTGGGTTTTTTTGTTTTGTGCGTTTGGCGATACTGCTAGATAAGGGTTGGACTGATAACCATCAGGTGAGCTGTTCAAGCCCACCTGCTGCTCTAAGGGAGAAAGATGAGGCTGTCTGTTCTGTAAAGAGTTACGGCCTCGAAAACCCTACAACCGGTCGCTGTGAGTGGCTGTTGATTGGATGGCGGTGAGTTTGGGTTGATTGTGTCTGTAGCAGGTAGCTTGACACATAATAGACTCTACCAGGTAGATGCTCAATAGAAATATTTCCAGTGAATGAGCGAAATATCCTCATTTTTTCCATTGAAATGATATGATGAAAATCTCTGTCCTTCCATTTATGTGACCATGTTCCTTGTACATGTATACTGAGACAGTGGCCCGATGGAAAACAACAACAACAACAAAGAAAAGGCCACGTTCATTGCCATCACGGCAGTTTTGACTGATGGTGACCCCGCTGGGCGGAGGAGAACTGCCCCTTGCAGGTTCTGAGGCTCTTGATCTTTGCAGGAGGACTGGACCCCGGGGCTGCCTGCTGGTCTGCTGTATTTCACCAGTTCTCACGACTGGCTGTTTAACTAGATATTGACACATAGTTTCCAGCTCTTGGCACGAGAGCAATGTGGTTAGGGTACTTACATATAAATGTGGGGCTGCATCTGGGAAAGGGAAGTCGTTCAATGCATTTCCAAAGGTGGGATTCTTGGGAAAAGAACTGGACTTTCCCCCCCCACCTCCCAAATCTTGTATCAAATGGCTTCCCGGAAAATTGTTCCAATTTGTAGTCTCACCAGGAGGCTGTGAATGTGCCCGTCTTGCCAGCATGATATTATCTTTTGAAAAAGAAAACTGCCAATCAGACTCCTGTAGAATCGTAGCTTGTCCCCCTTTCCCCTGTAGCGCTATCATTGAGGCCCGGTCATTCCATTTGTCTCTCTTCTCCGCACTGTGCAGGTCAAAGCAGCTGCCCACTGACTTGTTGGACTCTTTGGTGCAGATATGCAATATCGTGTAGCCCTTGGTGTTTGTTGTGAATACTTTATCTCAGCGATCATGCATCTCTTGGTGGTGTTTATGGGTTAGCCTGGGTTTGGTGGTTAAGGTTCTACTCTGTGTGTTCATGCACAGAAACACACACACACACACACACACACACACACATATATATATATATATATATATATATATATATATATATATAAATGTTTGTCCCCTTCCTCCCTTGCTGCCCCAATCACAGGCCCCTTCCCTGTAGCCAACTCTGCGTGCTTACAGGAGGCAAGAGGGTTTCGTGGTTCACAACACCGTCTCTGATGCAAAGGCATCATGTCATCAGGGCAACGCAAGTCACATCCCCAAGGAGCTGCACTTCACTTCCACTGGACTGGTTGGGAGATGAGAGGGGTTGATGCTGATGTGCAGAAATTGGAACCCTCATTTGTTGCTGGTGAGAATGCAAAGTGGCCACTATAGAACATAGTTCGTGGTTTCTTAAAAAGCATAGGACTACCACGTGACCCGATAACCTTGAAGCTGGGGTGCAAACAGAAAATTGTACATACAGCAATGTCGCTGCAGAACTGCTCACAATAGCCAGTGGTTGGCAACAACCGAAATGTCCATCCACAGATGGGTGGATAAACAAAATCTGGTAGATGTGCTCCAGGAAATACTAACAACCATAAGAAGAATAAAGTCTCTATTCACACTATAAATTTTGAAAACCTTATCCTGAGTAAAATAAGTCAGTCACAAAAAGAGAATATTCCATGAGCTCATGTAATATTTGTGCCCATTCCAGAGAAGGTGACTCAACAGAATGTGGAAATTATCAAACAATATCATTAATATCCCATGCCATTAGGACTTTGCTGAAGATCATTTTTAAAGCGCTTACAATAGTATATCGATTCAGAACATGGAATATTGTTGCTGATATCAATGGATCTTGGCTGAAAGCAGAAAATACCAGAAAGATGTTTACTGGTCTTTTATTGATTATACAAAGGCATCCAACCGTGGGGATCCTAAGAAATTAGGGACAACATTGAGGAGAGTGGGAATTCCAGAACATTTCTTCGTGCTCGTGTGGAATCTGGACACGCACCAAGAAGCAGTTGTTGGAGCAGAAATAGCAGGATCCTGCGCTGTTTAAGGTTAGGCGCGAGCAGGCTCTG